CACCCAATTTTTGACAGGGCATGGTCCGTTCTGCTCCTACTTCGAAAAAATGAGACAGGTAGCAGACGGCAACTGCTCCTATGGCAGTTGACCGTCGAGGACAGCCACCACACATTCTTCAAATGTGCCCGGTGGAGCGTCGAACGACTCGCATCAGAGCAAGATCTCGGAAAAATCTCGCCAGACAACGTTATCAAGAAAATGCTCCGACGTCAGGAGGAGTGGAACAAGGTAGCCTGGTACGTCAGGGCCATCTTGCGTAGAAAAAAGAAGGAAATGGGCAGCCCTTAGACCTGCCCCCAACGTTGCTGCAGGCTCCTGCTCTGTAGAGCCAAAGGGAGAGTCCCGTAAAGGGACCTGATGCAGTGGCGTCATCCCGAAGTAATGCCACATGATGGTGCCGGAATGGTTTCACTATGCCAATAGGATGGATATGAGTTCAGTCGGTAGTGCCTATTCCAACGGTGAGCCCGGCACTCCAGGGACTTTAATGGGGCAACCAAATAGTGAAGTGTTCCTCTGGCGGTCTGGGTTGCTGGGTTAGTGCGTAAAGATTGGCATTCTCGGACCATCAAAAAAAGAAAAAAATATTATTATTATTATTATTATTATTATTATTATTATTATTGTTGTTGTTGTTGTTGTTGTTGTTGTTGTTGTTATTGTTGTTGTTGTTATTGTTATTGTTGTTGTTATTGTTGTTGTTGTTATTGTTGTGGTTGTTGTTATTGTTGTTGTTGTTATTGTTGTGGTTGTTGTTATTGTTGTTGTTATTCTTGTTTATATTGATGTTGTTGTTATTGTTGTATATATTGATGTTGTTTTTGTTGCTTTTGTTGTTGTTATTTTGCTTTATATTGATGATGTTGTTATTATTATTTTTTTTATCATTATTACTATTAAAATTTTATTATTTTTACTTGCATAACTTTTCCTCGACTAGTCATTAATTTTTTCAAATCAGGCACCTGCTTTGGTTTGTAAGGCAGTCGCATATCGTTCTTTCGTCTAGTCAGATAATTTCCAAACACGAGAGTCGCATTGGTTTACAAACCACTCACATAACTATACTTCGAAAAGTCGGAATATTATTAAGATTAACATTCGCTTTGTTTTGAGTGGCACTAGCATAACATTCACCCGACTAGTTGGTATATTACCAAGTGCGATAGTCGCATTGTTTTGAGAGGAAACCGCATATCTTTCCCTCGACTTGTGGTAATATTTCCAATTCAACATACGCACGCATTGGTCCGACAGACACTAGAATAAATTTCTCCCGTATACTAGGAATATTTCCAAATAAAACATCCACATTGGTACCAGAGAAAATCGCAAAACTTTCTTCCAACTAGTTGGATTATTTCCATGTCCAACAGCCGCATTGGTTCGAGAAGCACTCGCATAACTATAATTCAACTAGACGGAATATTACCATGACTAACAGTCGCAATGATCTGAATGTCACTCGCATAGTTTTCGGACGACTAGTCTGAATATCTCCGAGTCCTACAGCGATATTTGCTCTAGGGGCACTCGCATATCTTTCATCAACAAGTCGGAATATTACGAAGTCCGGCAGCTGTATTGGTCTGAAATGCAATCGCTTAGCTTTCGCTCGACTACTCGGACTATTTCGTTTAGTCGGGATAATTACATGTCCGACAGCTACATTGGATCAAGAGGTTTTTGCATAACTTTCCGTCGACTGGGCGAAATATTTCCAAGTCCGACCGCCACGTTGGTTGAAGAGTCACTCGCATAACATTCCCACGGCTGGTAGAAATATTTCCAAATGCGGCTCATGCATTGTTTCGAATGGCCCTCGCATATCTTGCCATTTACTACGTCAGAATATCTCCTGGCCTCACATTCGCTTTGGATAACATGTTACGCGCATATCTTTCCCTCGAATAGTCGGAATATTTCTAAGTTCGAGAGTCGTATTAGTTCTTGAAACACTTACATAACATTCCAACGACTAGTCGGTATATTTCCAAATCCAACAGTCATATTGGTTCGAGAGGCACTCGCATAAATTTCCCTCGACTAACCGGCATATATCTAGGCTCGACAGTAGCATTGTTAATGGACGAATTCGCATAAGTTTCCCTCGATTAATTGCAACATTTCCAAGTCCGAGAGTAGCATTGGTTCCCAGGTCACTCACATTACTATCCCTGGACTAGTCGGGATATTTCCAAGTCCGGCCCCTGCATTGTTTCGAAAGGCCCACGTATAACTTTCCCTCGTATAGTCGGAAGATTTCTAAGTCAGACTGTCATATTGGTTCGAGATGCAATCTCATGAAATTCCCTCGACTAGTCGGGTAATTTCCAAGTACGACAATCGCATTTGTTCGAGATTCACTCGGATAACTTTCCCTTAACTATTCGGAAAACTTCCAAATCCAATAGTAACTTTGGCACGAGGGGCACTCGCATAACATTGTTTCGACTAGTCAGAATATTTCCAAGTCCAACAACCGTTTAGGTTCGAGAGGGACTCGCATAACATTCCCTCAACTCATGTTTACATGACTGGCAGCCGCATTAGTTCGAAAATCACTCTCATAACATTCCCTCAACTAGTCGAGAAATTTACAAGTCCGACATTCGCATTTGTTCGAGATCAATTCGCGCAACTTTTCCTCGACTAATAGGAACATATCTAAGTCCGTCAGTAGCATTAGTTTACAAGTCACTCGTATAATTTCCCATCGACTTGTCGGAATATTTCCTATATCGACAGTCGCATTGTTGCCAGATGCACTAACACAAATTTCCCACGACTAGTCAGAACATTTCTAAATCCAACAGTCTCATTGGTTCGAGCGGCACAAGCAAAATTTTTCCTCGACTAGTCGAAAGTTTCTAGATCTGACGATCGCATTGGTTCGAGAGACTCTCGCATAACTTCCCCTCGACTAGTCGGACTATTTCCCAGTGCGACAGTCGCATTAGTTCACAAGTCACTCGCATAAGTTTCCATAGACTTGTTGAAAAATACACAAGTCCGACAGCCACATCCGTTCGATAGAAAATCGAATAATTTTCCCTCATCTATTCGGAATATGTCCATGTCCAGCAACTATATTGGTTCGAGAGGCACCTGCTTAAATTTCTCTCGGCAAGTTTTGGTATTTCCAAGACCAATATCCACATTGGTTCCAGAGGAAATAGCATTACTTTCCCATGAGTAGTCGGAGAATTTTCAAATCCGACAGTCCCATAGGATCGGGAATCACTCGCATAATTTTCACTCGACTAGTCGGAGTATTTCGAAGTCCGACAACCGCGTTTGTTCGAGAGACACTCCAATAACTTTTCCTTAAAGTTTCAAGTCCAAAAGTCGTAATGATCCGAAAGGAACTCGCATAATTTCCCCTCGTCTAGTCGGAATATGTTCAAGTCCGGCAGCCGTATTGGTTTGAAAGGCACTGACATAACTTCCACCTGTCAAGTAGGAATATTTCCAAGTCCTACAGTTGCATGGTTTCTAGGGGCATTCGCTTAACATTCCCTCCACTAGTCGGAATATTTCCAAAGCAGGCAGTCGTATAGGATGGAGAGGCACTCGCATAACTTTATCTCGACCGGACGGATTATTTCCAAGTCCAACCGTCGCATAGGTTCCCAAGTTACTTGCATAATTATCCCTCCACTTGCCCGGATTTTTTTAAGTCCGACCGTCGCATATGTTTGTGAGGCAATAGCACTGGATTCTTTCGACTCGTCGGAATATTTCTAAGTCCGAAAGTGGTATTTGTCTGAGAGGCATCGGATAACTTACCGTCGACTACTCGAAATATTTACAAACCCAACAGTCACACAGTTTCTCAAGTAAATCACATAGCTCTCTTTATCCTAGTCGGGATATTTCCAAGGCCGAACATCGCATTGGTTCCCAAGTTACTCACATAATTATCCTTCGACTTGTCGGAATATTTCCATCCCGACAGCTAAATTGTTTTGTAAGCCAATCGGATTACTTTCTTTGGACTAGTCGGAAAATTTCCAAGACCGACAATCGCATCTATTCACAAATCACTAGCATAACTTTTCTTCGACTAGATGGAGTTATACCAAGAACGATAGTAGCTTTATTTCGAGTGGTAATCGCATATACTTCACCCGACTAGTCGGAATATTTCCAAGTCCGGCAGCCGTATTAATGCGAGAGGCAAACGAATAATCTTCACTCGACTAGTCGGAATATTTCTAAGTCCGACAGTCGTATTGGACCGAGAGGCACACGCATAACTTTTACTCGACTAGACGGAATGTTTCTAAGCCCGACAACCGCATTGGTTAAAGAGTCACTCGCACACCCTTCCCTCGAATAGTCGGTATATATCTAAATACGACGGTCGTATTAGTTCGAGAGATACTCGCATAAATTTACCCTGACTAGTTGGAATATTTCCAAGTTCGACCGTCGCATTGGATCGAGTTGCACTCGCATAACTTTTCCTCGACAGATCATACAGAATATATCCAAGTCCGACAGCCTCATTAGTTCGAGAAGCACTCGCATAACTTTCTCTCGACTCGTCGGATTACTTCCTAGTCCGAAAATCGAATTAGTTCGAGAGACACTCGCCAGATGTTCGATCGACTAGTCGGAATATTTTCAAGTTCGACAGTTGCATTGGTTCAAACGTCACTCGCATCACTTTCCGTCTACAAGTCGGATTATTTCCAAGTCTGGCAATCGCATTGATTCACAAGGCACTCGCTTAATTTTCCCTCGGCAAGAGGAAATGTTTCTAAGTCTGACAATTGCATTAGTTCGAGGGGTACTCTCATAACATCCCCACGAATAGTCGGAATATTTCTAGGTACGTCAGTCGCAATGTTACTTAATATACTCGCATGACATTCCCTCGACTAGTCGGATTACCTTCAAATCCGACAGTATATATTAGATTGGCGCAAATGAAATGTCGGATTCTTAAGTGAATATATTATACTGCATATCTTTTTCCAAAAGTTCTTTATTTAATCAAAATATGCTCCATTTACTTTAATGCACTTTTCCCAATGAGATTTTAATGCATAGATGCCTGTTTTGAAGAAATTCTGATCTTTAGACTCAATGAACTCTGATATGGCATTTTTCAGGCTGTCTTCATTTTCGTACTGTTTAGCCCGTAAAAACAGTTCTAAATGTTTAAATAAATAATATTCGGTTGTCGAAAGATCCGGTGAATAAGGTGGATGCTGCAAAATTTCATATTTTAATTCATTTAATTTTGCAATTGTTTTGTACGATGTATGCGGCCGAACGTTGTAGTGGAGAAGTATTGGGCTATGCCGATTAATAAGTGATGGGCGTAAAATTTTCAATTTTTCATGCATTTCTTCAATGTATTGGCAATACATTTCCATTGTAATTGTCATTCCAGTTCGAAGGAATGAGTAGTGTATTACTCCAGTTACATTCCACCAAACTGTGATTAAAATTTTCCGTGGATGAAGTGATGGCCGTGGAGTATGAGCACAAGCCTTATTCCTAATAAGCCACCGAGCACACCTTTTCCTATTGTCGTAAAGATTTTTCATCACAAGTAATGATCCGAACGAAAAATGGATCTCGATTAAATCTTTATCTCGATAAAATCGATTTATCTTTTGGCTTGTAGTTTGCCCGTCTGTTGTTTGTAAACGTACTCCCACGGTATCGCGTTGCCTGTTCCGTAACGAATTTTCTCCAACTAATTAGGTACGTTGTACTTTTTTGCTGTATGGCCGCAGCGTAGAACGATACTCATGCATTAATCTGAGATGTGCCTGATATTCATTTTCTCGCTGGAACGCGCGTCTCAACCTAGCTACCGCTTTCTTCTTGTTCGTTAACGCTGATGTCCACCATGCGTTGAACTTCCGGTGAGCCCTTTTTCCGGGCATAGATACATAGCAGGCGGTTTGTAGGACACAAGTGAGCATGTTGGCTCGTGTCTCTACTTCTGAAGAAGATCCTAAACTGCTTCCCTCTACCCTTGCCACCATGAGAGAAAGAGCAAATGAACATGTCCCAGTCGGCTCTCCTGGTTATGAACCTCCTGTTCCCGTCGCCCCGAGCACCACTCCCCAATCCGACACGGCCTTCGGGGATATATCGCGATGTCTATTGAATTGTGGTCACTGGATTCCAGCCGGTTCTTACTTTTCACTGGACAATAAGTCGGCTCATGGAGTGCGACGAGATGGTTACATCGATGTATGAAGAGCCTCTCGTGGTCCAGAATGTGTGTGACTTGTTTACGTCGTTAATAAATTTTAGTCGGGATGCCCGGAAAAGGGCTTCTAACTTCGAGCCTCTTTCGTCTGTGCTCTGAGGGCCCTAGAAAGAAGATCCCGCGTCGGCGTCGAATGATACTATTTATCTCTCCCACCATAGGGCACGAAGAACTGATTTCAAGTGCCAAAGGTGCTCATCTATTTTGTCGCTGTACTGAAAGTAGTGCGAGACGACGTCGATGGAGGAGCCGGGTGCTTGCACTTCTGCACAGACGCAGTGCGGAGTGCCGAGCTGCGTAATAAACAGCAACGTGATGTTTGGTTTGGTCGCTGCAACCGCAGACCAGGATCTTTCATTGCGAATGGCAACAATATTTGTCCCGTTGCCTAATCCTATAATCTCGTTTCCTGTCCCTTGCTTTTGGACGTACAGCTCCTGTAGAAGTTGCACGTCCAAGCGAATTTGGCTAATGAGTTCGCGCATTTCGCCCGTTACCGTTTTAGAACGTCCCATATTTAGCTGCAACAAATGACTTCTTGAGAACACATGATTTACGTGAGGGGGGCCTTAGCCGAGTTCATTTCGTTACCGCGGGTGGATTCGCAGGTATCTGCGAGAGTTATCCACGGTGCCTCGAATAGAAGATCCGCGCCTATCGCATCGGTTGTTTCAGGTGTGTTGTCCGCTTCGAGAGTTGCCGATGGAACGTTGCCTCTTCTAGGGTTGTTTTCGGTAATTCCTGGGATGTATCCGCAAGGTCTTGCTCGGCGTTTTGCTCTATTATCGGAGGGGTGTTGGGTTTTACGTGCGTTCCTTTAGCGCTGTTGTTGCGTGGGTGTTGCTATTTGTATGGGCTGGGGGCGTAAATTCAGCTTCCAGGGAGTTTTTCGCGGAAAGCATGCAGATATACGATCGTGGTCGCGGTCGCGTGATTATTGATCCGCACCCAGTTCTACCAGTCTATTATTCGAACTGGAAGGACTTATCGCGACTGTTCTGATATTGTTTTCCCCTAAACTAATGGCGGCCGATTTAGCGTCAGCGGCATTTGTTTGCACGGTCTTAAAAGATGACCTCAGCAATCTCTTATCGCACCTTCCCAAAACTACTATAACCTCTGGAAGATTGGCTAACACCTGATACAGCGCGGGTAGGGCGGAGGTAGGAACGCAGCGGGGGTCAATCGGTTAGCGGACTTGGACGACGACCGCGCACTCGCCTGGTGTCGTTCCGCGTTCTTACGCTGCCCTACGCCGGAAGTGCATCCAATCGTCACATTCGGGGTCGCACTATCCGCATTCAGCGACGCAATGCGCGAGCTACTCCTCTCCACGTTAACCGCCCATGGGAAAGTCTCCACCCGGAGATCCAAACGGTAGGCTATTTTACCTCCAGAATATTTTTCCCCACGGCAGTGGTAATGGAATTTAAAGAGGCGAGTACTTAATTAAATATAAGAAAAGAAGAAGCCGAAGGAAATCTTTTAAGTTGAGAGAAAACACTTTAAAAAACGTAATAATAATAATAATTTATGAAGAGAAGTAGTACCTCTCAGCTATATTTCCTTTAATTGTAAAGTGACGATGCGATGATCGAACAACGGTTGAGGTACTTTAGTGAAATGCTTTAAATGAAAGGGCTGAAGAAAGTTGGCGGAGATCAGTCTGGATGGTCTAATCAGAAAATTTAATTAAAGTACTTAGGGCAGTAGCAAGGTACGTATAATCAACGTACTCTAACAAGGGCACTTTAAGTAAGGGGGCATATAGAAGGAAGAATGAAATAAGATCAAAGTTCTTTCATAAAAGTACTTCAAGTAAAGGGATTCAGGAAGAAAATAGAGAATATATGATCAAGGTTCATATGATATGACTTTAAGTAAGAGGGCATATTGAGAGAGGAATGGACATATGAAAAAAATTCTTAGGAGAGGTACTTTGTGTAAGATGACTTGGTGCAACAGAACATATAATCAAGTACATTAGTAGAAGTACCTTGAGTAAATGGAGATAGAAGGGAAAGACTGATCTTGTCAATCAAGTGCTTTGGCAAAAGTACTGTGAGTAGACGGACATAGAAACTAAAGAAAGAGCATATAGTCAAGGTAATTTAGTGATAATACTTTAGGTAGATGAGCTTGGAAGTGTGGAGGAGGGTCATATAGACAAAGTGTTTTTGTAACAGTACTTTACGTAAGACGACTTAGAAGAAAAAGAAGGAAAGTATATTTAAGTACTTTCGTGGAAATATTATACATGAAAGGTTTGGGAAGGGAAGAGAAAACACACAATCATGATTCTTTATTAAAAGTACTTTGAGTGATAGGACTTGAAAGGGGAGGAATATAATCAATCATAGTGAAGGTACTTTGGTAAAATATTTTAAGGGAAGGTACTCGGAGAGGAAAGAGCATACAACCTAAGTACTTTAAAAGTGTTTTAGATAAGGGACATAGAAATGAGAGGATAGAACACAAACAAAGTTCTTTAGTAGAAATACTTTAAGTCAAGGAACTTAGAATGAAAAGAAAGAACGTGTAATAAATGATTTGTTGCCAATAATTTAAATAAGGGACTTGAAAAAGTGAAGAAGTACATATGATCAATGTACTTGGTAAAGGTACTTTTGCTTAGAAAGTAAGAAGAATATAATCAAGACTGTTGGATCAAGTACTTCAGTAAAAATTCTTTAAGTAACAGGAATTAGAAGAACAAGACAATTTCCAATGCGACAATCGCATTGGTACACATGTCACTCACATGTCTTTCCTCGTCTAGTTGGAATAATTCTAGGACCATCAGCAGAATTGTTTCGAGAGTCACTCTTATAACTATCCCTCTACTAGTCAGAATATTTCTAAGTCCGACAATCTCACTGGTTCACAATTCACTCACATAACCTTACTTCGACAAGATGGAGTATTGATAATACCGGCAATCGCATTGTTCCTAGTCGCGCTCTCATAACATTACCACTACTAGTCGGTATATTTCTAGGTCAAGCAATCGCATTGGTTTAAGATGCACTCGCTTAAGTTTCTCTGGACAGAAATGAATATTGCTGTCCGACAGTCGCATTGGTTCGATTGACACTCGCACAAATATTTCTCAATTATTTGGAATATTTCTAAGATCAATATTCGCATTGGTTCACAAGGTAATCGCATAGATCTCCCTCGACAAGTCGGAATATTTCCAAGTCCAACAGTCGAAATTGGTTCATAAGTTACTCGCACAACTTTCCCTCGACTAGATGGAATATATCTTGAACCGATTACCGCAATAGTTTGAACGAAACTCCCATAACTTTCCCTCGACTGGTCGGTATAAGTCCCAAAGTTGCATTGGACTAAGTTATTCGCATAACTTTCCCACGACTAGTCGGAATATTTCTAAGTTCGACAGTCCAATTAGTTCACAAGTTACTTACATAACCTTTTTTCGACTAGTCGAAATATTGATAATTACAACAATCGCATTGGTTTTATGTGCACTCTAATAACTTTTCCACTACTAGTCGAAATCTTACTAGGTCCAGCAGTCGCATTGGATCGAGATTCACTCTTATAACTTTACCTCGAATAAAATTAATATGGCAAAGTCCGACTGTCGCATTGTTTCACATGGCATTCGCATAACTTTCCTTCGACAAGTCAGAATATTTCCAAGTCCGACAATCGAATTACTATGTGGTGCACTCTCATATCTTTTCCACGACCAGTCGGAATATATCTAGGACCGACAATCGCATTTGTCCGAATAGAACTCACACAACTTTGCTTTGTCTAGTCGGTATAATTCTATGTCCGACAGAGGTATTGTTTCGAGAGCCACTAGCAAACCTTTCCCTCGACATGTCGGAATATTTCCAAATTTGATAGTCCCGTTGGTTTACAAGTTGTTCACATAACCTTTTATCTAGTATTCTAAATATTGGTAAATACGATAATCGCAAGGATTTAGGTGCACTCTCATAAATTTTCCATTACTAGATGGAATATTTCAAGGTACAGCTCTGGTATTGCTTCATGATGCACTCGCATAACTTTCTCTCGGCTAAAATAAATATTGCTAAGTCCGATGGTCGCATTGGTTCGAGAGGTACGCGAATATCATTCTGTCGTGTAATCGGAATGATTCCAATTACTACAGTCGCATTGTTCCTTGAGGCACTCGCATAAACTTCTTTCGACTAGTCGGAATGCTTCCAAGTTCGACAGTTGCATTAATTCACAAATCACTCGCATAACGTTCCCCCGACTAGTCGGAATATTACTAGGTCCGACAGTCGCACTGTTTTGAGCGGAGCTTGCATAACTTTC